AACGATCTGCTTTCACAAAAAACAGCTGCGAAAGCTTAAAGGGACTAAAATGTAGTCATTCTGACTGGCCGTGTGACTGTCGTTTGAGTACCAGGTTAGCTTGCGCTTTTTGCGGTGCTGAAAGCCCGTGTACGTAATAAAAAGTTGGTTCTGATCACCTGAGTTCAGTATTCCTTCACCATTCTCACATTCAGAACCAAAGCCAAAGCCGCCAATGATTGCTTGTGGAGGGTAGGGGTTTTAAGTGAGGATCTGACACTGCAGGCAAATAAATGTATTATGACAGCGATCACAGCTTTTTTCCTCTAAACAGCTTCTGATAATTCGTTTTTTGCATTTATAGGTGGTATCATCAGTTCTTATTCTAGCTCAACGATCACCATCAATACCTAAACATTATTTGCAAGTGGGGTTCTCTCGGGCGGCTTTTTGAGTGTTGCAAAGGTCTCACGATTTTCCAAGCTGAAGGTTATGGAGGGGATTAAAAAGATTATCCGGAAAAGTCGATCAATTCCTTAGGAAAATGTGGTGGATTTATTTTCTTCTAAACAGTGCGTAGCACCCCGGAAAACGTCCAAAAACTAATCACAATACCAATTACAAAGATTCGGGAATCAGCGTTCTGCGGTCAGTGAAACAACTGGCACTTTCAGGGCAGTAATAAGTCAAGAAACCTGTTAAAGAAAACCGGATTTCGTTTTGGCAACAACGCAGGCGAAATAAATGCATTTTGGGTCCTCAACTTGACTGCCAAAGCTTACTTAATATTTAAAAGGATGGACGTGCTTTCTGCCAGTCTTTTAATCCAAGCTTCATGCCTCAAAAGAGCCCAGCATCAAATGCCGAGCAAAAGAGAAAAGAATGCATTTTTGTTTAAGTCTACTATTCCGCTGCTTCTTCCTTCTTCTTCTTCTTCTTTTTCTTTTCCTTTTTTTCCTGCTGCGGTCCAGATTTGCGCTCCTCTGCTTCAACTGGCCCAGCGGAACGTACAGAGGAACGCGTTGGGGCCGATGCACCTGCCGATTTTATTGAGGTTCTTTCCGCCTGACGGGGTGCAGCCCTAGCATAGCCACCAGGCATATCATCTTCGGCGTCGGAGTCTTCGCCACCGAAACAACTGCATAGTCCTAAAAGGTAGCCAAGAATAATTTGAGAAAGTCTGTAAAAAGTGCGGAGAGAGATGTTTTTTAAGTACTTCACACAGCGTCCTTTCGGGACAGCGGCCTTCCTTACTGATCCGACAATTTGCAGGCGCTGACTTCTGTCACCTTGTTAAGATAAATCAATTAAAACACCTCCCCGGTGATTTTTACTAATATTTGCCCAAAGAAAACGACCATGAATTATCGTTATTATTGTCGTTGATATTTATTAGCACTGCCATAGAAGCGAATAGGCGAACTTCAGGATCCAGTTCGGAAGGAGAAACTGTCCTCGCTGGAACAAGACGTTTACGTGCCTGACGCTTTAGATTCTTAATTGAACCGAGCATCAAAGACAACGGCAGCAAGGGGGAGAGAGTTCATCTGGGATAAGAATTTCCGCATATGTGCAGGTATGTACATGTTAATGGTGAGCTCAGCGATCTGGTTCAGGAACCTCTCTGTCCCATTTTGAACCGGGATTGACTACAGAGCACTCATGTGCAATCGTATACCGAATTGTAGAATATTTAAGTTTAACCGGCATATAACAAGGGAGAATGGAATGACCATTTCTGGCTTATTAGTCGTCATCAACGGGCCCGGCAAATCATGGCTCAAGGATAGTGCTTAAGTCAGAAAACAACGAGTCTTGTTCCCGCATCAATGAAAAAGTTTGCGTTCCAGGTATCTGCATGGATAAGGAAGAAGACTTGTCGAGTACCGGATCCGGTGCTCGACAAGTCTTCTTCCTTATCCAACGAGTCTTGTGTTTGACCCTCGAAAGCTGGAACATTTGGGATTGGTCATGGTTGGCTGATGATGGATAATCAGCCAGAAATGGCCATTTCAGCTTGTTTGTTTCTGCCCATAATATGCTATCCGTTGAGCGGCTGCTGGCAGGGATCGAGAGCGATTCCCAAAGCATAACGAAACGAGTGAGTTCCATGCTGATCGATGGGCGCCCATCTACTATATATACATATATATGCAAAAGGACATTACCCACAAAGGCAAGGGAGACTGGAATGGCCAGTTCTAGCTCATTAGCAGTCATTAGCCAGCCATACCAAACCGCAAAGGTTGCGACTGTTAGGATGGCCCAGCACGCGCGTCCCCACTCGGGCCGTCCTGAGGGCAAGAGGAGAAAGGAAGCCCACATGCCAGCTGAGGCAGGCAGAACAGGACAAGACGCGCGACTTTCAAAGGGC